CTGCTATCAGAATACAGTGATTGGATGGCCCTTAGCAGCTGGCCATCAATCCCGTATGCTCGAAGGCATGACCACAGACTGTTGAATGGGACCCGGCCATACGCTTTCTCTAGGTCCACAAAACACATGTGCACCAGCTGGGCGTACTCCCACGATTTCTCAACAGTATAACGCAGGGAATATATATATCGTCAGAGGTGATTCGACTTTAGTTCCACTGCCCTTCTTGCATCCTGATCGATAAATTCAACCACTGATCAATAGCTATTAAACTTCACTGTAGCAGGTGAATGTAGAGACGCGGCCCTGCGTCCTCTGCATTGCAGGCGCTTAAGCAGCATGGAGTCGTGATCCGTTTAAATGGACCCCATGGGCATGTAGATATAAGGGGGAAGTGCCATGGAGCTGCTGGTGTAAAGTGAGAAAAGAGATTTTTCTTTTTTTACACTACGCAGTTTCGCCGTTTCAATCCAGAATCATAATATTTTTGGTGGGGTATTCAGCTGTAGGATCGAATCTTCTCCCAGAACATCTGGGTTTCATTCTGTCACTCTTTGTCCTGCGGATCGTGGCAGTGTTTCTTGTTCGAGACGGGGTCTTGGGTACTATGCACAGCAGGCGCCTAAATACCGCAGAGTCGTGGCCTGCATAAATAGCCCCTCATGCGTTTAAAGGTCATTTAATAGCCCCCCCCCCAATGACTTAACAATCATGCAATGGGCTGCTGGTACAAAGAAATAGATTTATCTTTTTTTTCACTGTGCGTTCGACGCTTAAATCCGGTATCATTATTACATTTGCTCCATTTTTACACTGTTTCTTCGACGTTTCAGTCGGAAATCATTATTTTTGTTGTGATATATTCAGCAGCGGTGTCGATTGTTCCCCAGAACATCGGGTTCTCATTTTGTCACGAGACTTTTCTTTCTTTTCACTGTGGATTTTCGCCGTTTTAATCCAGTATCATTACATATGCAATATAACAGATGGTTTTTATCGAAAAACTCGATGTACGATAAAATGTGACGTCGATATTCGTTAACGATGTAACGAGTATTTTTTTTTATCATGATATGGTTTGTATAAACAGAATGCAGTGACAAAAAATTTGAAAATTAATTTACTCGTGTTTATATCATTGTGGCATTCATGAGAACACTTAGCATGTGTTTTCCACGACGATTTCGAGGCCGGGATTTTGCAGTCGGTAGAGCGTCAGATTCACGATCGAGAGGACCCAGGATCGATCCTCGGCCAAGTCACTTGCCTTCTGTCTTTCAAGATATATTTGAACACCATTTTGGGGGAAAAGGAATATCAGATTATACTCCTTGCTTGCTGTATAAAGGATTATGTGCTGAAGGGCACCACAAATGGTCTCCTTCCTTGAATAAGCAAAGTAGACCAACGTCTCGACAGTTACAAACTGTTTCTTGCCATTAAATCAACTTCGGCATTTACATGCCGAAGAGCGGATGCTGATTAAAACTATGAATGTAATATCGGGATGAATTGCGACAAAGATAAATTTACCCATGGCTCGCCGGCTGTTGCCAACATTCGTCACGAATTCAAAACATTGCCAATCAGACGACACAAGTAGCTGATTTCAGGTCAAATCCTTTGATGACAATTAATCAGTTCGATTAGGCAGTAGCACCAGAAATTTCGTCAGCGAAGCGCAAGTGAAATCTCTACCGTCTACTTTTAAATAGATAATGATCATCCCCAACTCCGCCATGGCCGGTCCGAAGCCCGGATGAGAAAGGAGGAGGGTTGGAGACCGTGGCAAGTCTCCGT